ACTTCTTCTGAACTGCTTTCTGGGACTCTAATATTCTCTTTTATTGGCATATCTATTTTGATAACCAGCACTCTATGAAATAGTGTGCACCTGAGTCTGGAGAAGACTCTAGGCACATTAAACGCGAGACGCCCATGAAACATCTTCTTTGGCTAATCCCAATCGGCAACTAAACTAAGAGGAAAATAAAGGCGTAGTAGAGATGTCGGGAATGACTGATGATGCTGCATGGGCTCTCCGCCAAACGGATGACACACGGTCGAAAGGGCAGGCAAAAACACACACGTGTTCACAGGCAGACACGGTGGTCCTGCCGGATACATGTGCTCGTGTGCAAACATTATTTAGGAGCTTGACCTCAAGGACAGTCCGATGAATTGAGGCGTCTGTGTGGGCTCTGGGTTTTTTTCGGAGGACTTGTGTGATCCCTAGGCTCTGTGATTGACAGACGTTTACGTGCCATTACTTTCCTCTCAAGAACTGTTGGCAAAATAGACAACAGTCCTTTAGGTGAGGAAATAGGGCTTCCATAACAAATGAGGGAGCCGTTTCGTTTGGTCCGGGAATTTTAAGACTCACAGAACTTAATGTTGTAAGGTATAGAGAGTACTACCTATAGAAATTGTTTGTCATCCAACCTTAAGGCAATTTTCCTGCCTTAACTCTTATTTTCGTGTAGGTAAATATTGGGAACATGGTAACTCAACAGGTTGTCCTGCGAAATAAAAATAGAAGTGTGATTTCCTCATTAATAAATATACTTTAAGGCTGGAATTACTGACTGAAACATACACATTCTGCGGCAGTAGAAAAAACTGACATATGGATTTTGTCAATTATCAGGTTTTCTGTTTTATCAGCCACAGATAAAATGTCATCACTTTCATCGTCGCAAATTATAATCTAGAACCAGGGATCCAAGTTATTGAGTAATGGAACATTTTGCCTTATCGCAACTAACGAGTATGAGTCACTTAAAAAACCAAAGGAAACATGTACCAGTGCATTCTTCTAATTTTAGAGTTTCTTGTCGGTCTTTGCAAAATACAGTTAAACAAGGCATTGGCAAAGCAGGATCTAATGATGGTTTGCGGTATCGTTACCAGAAATATCCACTCGCCGTTCGAAACATATGCTACCGTGACGTCGAGATAAAGGAATTTCAAAATACCATCAACTTCGTGCCTACTTTGACAAGTCTTATTAAACA